TCTCCATTCTGTGAAATTAGGGAAAACAACAGAGGGAATAAATGACTCACCCAGAATTAAGAAGCAGCTCAGTAATAGAAAACACAGATCTCTGAAGACTGGATCGCATGGATCCCAGGTACCTTTCAGACAGGGAGATATTTTTGAACCCCTATCCCTGGGACTTTGCAAACTGGTTTCCCAGGGCTCTGCGTCAGTGCTTCCCTCATCTCAAAATTGTGCTGATGCAATTTCAGGATGCTTTTCTTGATGATCTTCAGGGTGCACAGGATCTGTTAATACCACCCCTAGCAGAGAGGCTTTCTTTTCACCACAGGTGTCTGTCTGTCCCTTTATGCGTGACAGCATTAACACCAGATGACCATATTTATATGACTGAATAATTTTACTGATTTAAACTCTCTGCCTGCTTTTGAAATATTTGGTAATACACAGCAACATTATCACCTATTTATTATCTACTTAATCAAATCTATTCTAGCTGTATTTTGTAGACCAATTGTACATGGCTGACACCCATGAATGAGGTGGCTCATTTGTGATTAGTAAATTGTCTTTCATATACGTTCCCAGTGTATATGATCCAAGCCTTAAATTTATAGAAGAGTGACTGTTTAATTCACCTCAGCATGTCTTCCCGTAGCATCATGAATGCATTTTGAAAATAATAGGTTGGGCGGCTCCAATCAGTACAATCTTTTTCATTTCTTGAATTCAAGAACTTCACAAGGGAGGTCAGAATGACCATATGGCATTTTAAAGACATGGTGGGGGATGAGTATCTAGTATCAATATAGCAGTTTAGCAGAGTCAGGAAGAAGGCTTAACACGTTTCTTAAGATCAAGGGCAGTACCTTGCCTAGGAAGGTGTATTATTGTGTCTCTGTCGGCTGTCGTAGCTTTGGGGGGAAGGAGGGACTATCTCTGTGTTACTTCCAAGTATTGCACAAAATAAATTCTAAGATTAAAAAATTCTATGGGTTTTTTTTTCCCCCTTTCCAAGTGGAAACTAGTTATAGATATCTACACATAGCCTACCTTTTAAGGTGCGGGAAAGATGTAATCACTACCAGCTATCAACCAGCTTCTGTTGAACTGGTGGCCTTCTGTTCATGCTGGTTTGGACAGTGAGGTTACACGCCAGCCTGGTGTCTGGTCTGGTGCACTTGCACTTTCCTGGGGTCTGTCTTGCATGCAGAAATCCCTATTGTCTGTATTCAGTTCTCCACAGCAACTTTGAAATTTAAATCTCTGCTGTACTTCAAGTCAAACGGTTACTGAAACGTCATCATGCAATCTGTGCCCTTCCAAGACAGGCTTATGCAAATATGCAAATACCTAACTGTTCTTGACACAGCTAAAAGAAATTTGGCCCTGGGAAAAGGCATTTAGAGATGGAGTAAAAAATGAAGGTATAACTCCTTCTTCTTCCTCAATTTGTTTTCTTTTTGTTGTTGTTGTTTTCTACTAATCCACAGAGGAACAACATAACATCGAATCTCTTTACTGCTCAATCAGTCTGGGATGCTTTAATGTCTTTGTTGTAATTTAGGAAATGAACTGAGACAAAATTGTGTTACGTAGACACTAAAAATATACACTGAAGGAACCACATAAACTCACAGGTAGAAATTAGCTCTTTTTTTGCCAGTGCAATTTATGATGAGAAATGAACTAAGCTTCTTCCTCAAAGTCACAGCTATAGATCAGCTAGAAGCTTGAAGGACTGCTTGAATCCTGAGAGGTGGCACATAGATCTACAGCTCCGAGAATTGTGCCAAGAAAGGAAAATCAACAAGATCTTCACCTGATTTATGTAGGCCAGATGCCTGTGACTTGCCTTTCGAAGGTGATCTCACAGAGGCGTAGTTAAAACTTGATGATGTTATTAAATAATCATGATGATTTGTGTCCCTGGGTTGCAGCTGTGTGTGTGTTTTTGTGTGGTTATAAATGTGGTTAATCCCTGCTCGTGAAAATGAAGGTTAGAGATTGCTGGGCTTAAGGGCAGGGATTTTGCATGCAGCTGTTACGTAGAAGGTCTCCAAATTATTCTAATGTTGGACCTCTCTTTCAATTTAGAACCAGTCAAATTGCAAGTTAGTGAAAAAAGTAAATCCAGGGAACTTTTAATTACTAAAACTGAGCAGCTTCTAAATTTGCCCACTCCGCAGAGACAGGCAGTGCTCTGATATTGGTGATGCTGATTTGGGGCTGGAGAGAGTAGGATAAGACCACAGATTGTGACTTGGTCTTATTCTGGTCTGGAAACCTCTAGTAACATAGTATTGCCTTTTCCTTCATCCTCATCATACCTGTCATAAGGAGAAAAAAAAAAAAAGGATTCAGACAAGGGTTGTGTCTTTCATTAGATATTTAAACACTTTAAGCAGAATATAGATGCGACCTGAGCAGCAGCCTGTAGATATGCTATAATGTAAACACTGCTGATGTGCTTCACTTGTGACTTTTTTCCATTGAATTGTATTATTTTGGGTGGAATTTTTGAGACTACAAACGGCTACCTTTGAAGTCGGGTATGGATATATATCCCCCC